ATTAAATATATATTTATATATATATAAAAACAATTATTTAATATTAGATTTATGCTCTAAAACTATAAATTAATTATAGGGCTACAGCTTCTCATTTGCTGGATTAAAACTATAACTGAGAATCTGATTCTGATGAAGTTTCTGATGAAGATTCCTAGCTCTGAACAACATTCATTGGCTTTGATCAGAAAATGTTGCCATTGCTTTGAAAATATATCAAATATAGTTGTTTTTATAATTTTATTTATTTATTTTTTCCCCCCAAAGCCCCAGTAGATAGCTGTATGTCATAGATGCACATCCTTCTAGTTGCTGTATGTGGGACGCGGCCTCAGCATGGCCAGAGAAGTGGTGCATCAGTGTGCGCCTGGGATCCGAACCCAGGCCACCAGCAGCAGAGCACGCGCACTTAACCGCTAAGCCACCGGCCGGGCCACTAGCAGCAGAGCGCGCGCGCTTAACTGCTAAGCCACGGGGTCGGCCCTGTTTTTAAAAGGTAACTTTGTCGGGGTTGGCCCAGTGGCGTAGCTGTTAAGCGTGCGCGCTCCGCTGCGGTGGCCAGGGGTTCGCGGGTTTGGATCCCAGGCGTGCACCGTCACACTGCTTGTCAAGCCGTGCTGTGGCGGCGTCCCATATAAAGTAGAGGAAGATGGACATGGATGTTAGCCCAAGGCCAGTCTTCCTCAGCAAAAAGAGGAGCGTTGGCAACAGATGTATGTTAGCTAATCTTCCTCACAAAAAATAAAATAAAAAAATAAAAATAAAAAAATAAAAGGTAGGGCCGGCCCTGTGGCTTAGTGGTTAAGTGCGTGCGCTCCGCTGCTGGCGGCCCGGGTTCGGATCCCAGGTGTGCACCAACGCACCGCTTCTCCGGCCACGCTGAGGCTGCGTCCCACATGCAGCAACTGGAAGGATGTGCAGCTATGACATACAACTATCTACTGGGGCTTTGGGGGGAAAAATAAATAAATAAAATCTTTAAAAAAAATAAAATAAAAAAAAATAAAAGGTAACTTTGTCGTTCCCAGTGTAATTTAGCTAATATGAAACAAAAAAATTAAAGGTAAATTGACACTATGACTAAAAATTCCTCATAATACTGTCATAGTAAATACAGCCTTATGTTATTTCTCTATTTGGCTGGTCTATATTCCTGATGATTTGTTCCAATACATGAGCTTCTCTCTAAACTTTAAATTATATCAAATCTAAGATTTAAATGGTTACAAGTGTGGCATAAATTGGACTACGGGTCTCCAATCAGCCTACAAAAACATCCAACATTTGAACAGTTAATAGTCATGAGAACACAGCCTTGGTTCTGATAGATTATAATCAGAGAAAGAAACCGAGCAGCTTTATACTGTAAAGTAGAAGGGCAGATAGACAGTGAGTTTTCACTGTGAAATTTCTGGGTGAATGCATCTTAAAGTTAGGGTAGGAGGGAACAGAAGCAGTGGCAAACACAGATTTAGTCGTCATTAAAGATTGTACTGGTGTCCCGAGTCTGCAGAGGACTCACTCCACCTCCTGTCTCTGGTCTCTGAAGTACTCAGAGTACTTAGCCTGGGAGTACTCAGACGAGCTTCAGCGCAAGTGAACCCCGTTTTTTTTCTTTAATTGAGGTAACATTGGTTTATAACATTCTATAGGTTGCAGGTGTACAACATTATAATTTGACATCTGTATATACCTATCCATTTTTAACCCTCAGTTCAGCAGGTGGGCTGGGTTGGGAGGTACCAAGCCTGAATTGGAAATAGAAAGTGAGAATCTTACCCATTATCAGAGAGGCAGGGACCACAGCACTGCTAAGATAGCTAAATATAGCTGTTTCACTGTGGACATCTGTTTTGTGAAGAACTGTGAGCTTGTTGTAGATTTGTCTTTACAGGAAACAAAACTATATCTCACAGAGTTTCTTTTTGCTATATCTTTAGGTCTAACACATTATGGATTGTAACAATTGCTCTACAAAGGTTGTCTTCAATTGGCAAGGCATGATCAAGACAGATTTATACAACTCAATATAATTGAATCAAGCAGATAATTTTTTTTAACATTCTAAATAGCATGCTTTTTGCCAGGGGGTGATGAGTTATTCCATATACCCATCAAACCATTCAGCATACTAGTTAGTACAGATTAACAGCAAATTCTAAATCCTGTAGAAGTGTTTGCACTTGTACACACTGAACAGCTCTCTCATATTTTTTTTCTAAAATGTTTTACTTTCCCACGTTCTACAAATTATTCAATGAATTTTCTTAAGTTTTAGTGATACTTTTATTCTTAAAGCACATGATATTAAGGTTAACTTTTAGTAGAAGGAACAAAATTATTTTTTAGCCTTTAATTAACTGATAATTATAAACATAATATTATTTTTAAGTGTTCAGCTCCAAAGACATGGAGAACATTTGATGGCAAAATAGTTGAGATGGATACACAGTTCACCATCAGAGCCAGAGAACTGCAAAACATCTATAAATGCATTACACTGAAAAATCTCTCTCAAGATGAGAGGCTGGATGTGCTCTTAACACTTAAACATACTGTGAAGGTACGTTAACTTTCTCTTAGTTTTGGAGTATCACTATCAATAAAAAAATTGAATACTAAAATAAGCAAGGTTTTTTGTGTTAAGTAATTATAAAGATAATGTTTGTATATATGAATTTTATTTTGTTAACAACTATTGTTTTGGTATAATTTTGGGAGGATGTGGTTTATGCATTAATATTTATCTAAAAGTTCTCAAACTGTATAATATGACACATAATAAATGTAAACATAGCACAATAAATATCCTAAATGTAAATATGTCCCCTCTATGCAATGGATGCAAATATATGCAAATATATAGCATGGCATTAATACTCAACTCAGTTCAATAAAACAGCAACTATTGTCTATATATTTTGACATGTTTCACTGAAAATTTTATTTTTAGCAGTTTTAAAGCAGCATCTGTGTAAGTATTTTTGTTTTTTTTTTTCTCTTCAATTATTGATTTTCTGTGTTTTTAGTCCTGCTTTTAATGAAAATGAAGTGGGTGTCACAGGTCAGGTTCCCAAGAAACAGCCTCTGAGATGGGGATTCGTGTGCAGGAAGCTTCTTGGCGAGTGCTCTCAGGAGGAACTCCTGTGAGGAAATAGACAGCAGGATTGGTCAGGTGGAGAAATTAAACTCTCAGCAGTGACTCCAGCCAGTCTCACAGGGAGCTCTGAAACTGGGGAGGCCCTTCTGAGTTGTGCCGAATCAAGGCGAGGGGCCAGGAGTTTTTACTCCCACATTGACCATTTATTGGATGTGGGCTGCCCCTAGGAAGGAGAGGTGACTTAGGATGAGGCATCTCTCTTTACCAGAAAGCAGTTCTCAGAAAGGGACTCAGTTGAGAGTGTCAGCCAACAGTGTGCGGGGGTGGGAGAATGAGTTCCTCTGGTCTGGACACAGCATACACAACACATACCGCTGCTTGGACCCACTGGCTTCACGTTGTAAGTTGTGAGAGCAGCTGCTCCAGATTTGGGTAGGCCCTTTTTCCCTGGGGAAAATTGCAAGAGCAGGGTTGATGAGATAGCTATAGCCCCCTATTGTTGCCATTGTCGGTAAGGCCACAACAGATACTCATTGTCTCTTTCCTCTAGTATCCATTTAGATTTCCTCACCCTCAACTAGCACCTTGACTGATCTAGGTGGCCTACCTGTTGTGGTGACCCACACCTTGAGAGGTCTAGACTACAGGTCACTGTGCTCTTCTCAGGCTGAAGCTGGTAGACTTCCATTTACTGTCAAAACTGGGCAAGAATATACCAAGAAATGCCCTGGACCTGGGTGCCAAACATGTTCTTCCCTGTCTGCATTGGGTAGTAACAGCACTACTCTCTTTCAAAGATCAAGGTTAATTACCTCTACAGGCATGACACTTTCCTTGCCCCCCAGGTCTTTTGGCCTAAAGAGCCCAGGCATTAGTTGTAGCTTAGAGTTTAATAGGACTCTTGCTGTGTCCTCTACTAGAAACATTTTCCCTCCAGGAATTAGGACCTCTAAACTTGAGAGCCCAGAGTTGCAGGGACAGGAAGCAAAAGTTCCCCAAGTAGTAAATGGGTCCGTTTCTACTTTCAACCCCTTGGTTTCCAGAGTAAGGTAGTTTCGGGAGCTTCCACTTGTTCTTCTGCGTCACGTTAGCTCTTACCCCACAGATCAAGAAATGTGCTAACTAACAAGTATTCCATTCCAATGATATGTTCAAGGACCAGGAAAATGAACACTGGATGGGTCTGTGAACCCAGTGGACCCATTGTGAGCTGGACCTGGGTCAGGACTCCATTTATGTTTTGTTCCCATGTACCCACATACCAGCAATTTTCAGCCAAGATGGCTTTCTTCAGCTAAGGGAAATCCAGAGAGAGGCTCAGGTGAGAGTTGTCAGCTGCCAGCCTATCAGCAGCTGGGAGACTGAGTGCTTCAGTTCTGAAGTGGGGGTAATGCGAGCAGCACATCACAGCATTCGCTATAATGGATATGTTTTCTATATTCCTAATTAAAGGGGAAAACCCAAGTGTCATTAGGACCATTGCTATAGCTCTTGTGTTTTATAGCTCAAATTGAAGGTAATATTGGGCATATGTCATTGTCAATATAAATAAATGAGCAATTCAGCTAAAAATATTTGGCTTCTGAAAAACGATTTTGAGTTCTCTAACTTTATAAGACACTCACCAGATGCCACCTTCAGTTTAAGGCATAGATATGTAAGTTGTTTCTGAATTATCACTCCTAAGAACTATTTTAAAGTTTGTACATAGACAATGGATTGGATAACTCTGCATGGTCAATCTATTTTGGTCATCGATCTGACCCAAATTGCCAGAGTGTGTGTGTATAGATATTCAAATGATAATCATGGTTCACTACAAATAACAGCTGAAAAAATGTCAGCCATATTCAGATCCATCTAGGTGAGCCATGTGATTACAACCTATTACTTTCACAAGTATAACCCTTAGATACCTCATGTGGGCTCTTTGCCTCCTAATTGCAAAGAACTCTCATTCTGTTGAGAAGAAACAAGACCAAGACACAAAATTTTTAAGACACATTAAGTAGAGTAAGTGGTTCTTGTTGGGAGATAAATCTTCATAGGTCTCTCGCATTGCTGCCCATCTTGAGAGCAGAGGCATTGACTGCCTTTGAAAAAGGCTACCTTTTCAAAGATGTCTGTGTAGTGACTAGGCTTGGAAGATAGAAATAGATAGGAAGATAGGGAGAAGCAGTAGATCCAGAGGTAGGAAATAAGCTTGATAGCTGTAGAGGGCAGTAAAAATATCAGATTGGAAAAAAGAGAGTGCAGGTAGGGAATACAATAGAAATGCTCTTGCCTGACATAATTAGGACCATTAGCTGGTTAATTAAAAAGCCAAAAGATGGCTCATAAAAGATAAATCATGTATATCTTAAACAATATATTTAACCTAATATATTCACATGTACATTTATTTAACAATATTTTGATGGAGGATTAAGGCCTTTAAGCATAACTCAAATTCTGGCTCTATTCATTTATGACTGTGCAACCTTAGGTAAGTTATTTAATATTTCTGAAAATCAGTTTCACCATTTGTAAAATTAGTTGCTTTGAGGATATAAATATATATATGTGTATATATATGTACATATATATGTGTATATAATATAAATTAAAAAATATAATCTCTATGTCTCAGTGCTTACAAACAGGGAGCCCTTAATAAATAATAGGTATTATTTTGATGACAATTACTAATACAGACTAGTGAATCTTAAACCTGAGTACACATTAGAATTATCTAGAGAACTTGAGAGAGAGAGAAAGAGACAGAGACAGACAGACAGACAGGCATGGAGAGAGAGAGAATATGAGAATAAATGAGTAGGAATGTTTTCTAGGCCCCATTTCAGAGCAGTTAAATTAGATCCTCAAGTGTGAGGGCAATGTTAAAATCTTTTAAAATCTCCCTCAGGTCCTTCTAATGTGCCTTCAGGGTCAACGACCAGTGATGCACTCTTGAATTAGCTATAAAGAATATGTATTAAAAAGTACAGAAGAGCATTATTTTAGTTACTGGCTTTACCTTCTGACTCTTTCCTTCAAACTTTATGTTTCTTGTGGTCTTTTCTTGAGCAGGTGGAGCAATTTCTATTTTGCTGCTTATAAATCCTTCTACCTTAATCACTTAACTCTTCTCTAAGGCTTTCTTATTCAACCACACTCATTTCTATTATTTTATTAAAAATTATTGCGAATTATATAAACATGCAGAAAATATGTATAAAATATATATGTAAGTTTAGTAAATATAAAGCCACCAACCATGTAACTACCCTCTGGTCCCAAAACAGGATATTGCCAACATTGCTAGCATCCCACTTTCTCTTCTTGATGGCGATTCACCCTCTCATCCCCTAGAAGTAACTACCATACTGACTTTCATAGTAGTCATTTCCTTGATTTTTCTTCGTAGTGTGCCACCTCTGTATACATCTCTAAATAATATGGTTTAGTGTTGCTTATTTTTGGATTTTATTTCAATGGAATAATACTGTATGTACTATTTTGTGCGTTGCTTCTTTTGCTCAACATTAATTTGTAAGATTTAAGCTTCTTATTGTATATAGCTGTAGTTCATTCATTTCCGCACATTAGATAGTTTTCTTACGTATGAATAAGCCATCACTTATTTATGTAATCAACTTATTTATGGATATTTGGTTATTTCTAATTTTGGGCTACTGTGAGCAATGACTCTACATGCAGATTTCTCTAAAGCACTTAAGAATAGAATTGCTGGGTTGTAGATTATGCATATCTTAAACTCTACTAGATAATTAAGTCAATTTTTTTTCCCAAATTAGTTGTACCAATTTATACTCCTATCAGCAATGTTCATTTATTCTGGAATCTAGTTTTCAGTTTGTTTGGGTGGTAATTTAAAAAACTAAGTAATTTTTTGGGGCCGGCCTGGTGGCGCAAGCGGTTAAGTGCGCG